TATACAATGGTTTGTCCAACATTTCAGAAAAATTCTTTCTGGAACAAAGGAAATAAACACACTGGTAATACTTTGCTATCAGTCTAATCTTCCCTTGAGCCAGTATAATGATTTGTATATCATTCTGTCAAAAATGTAATTTTAACTCACCAGCTGCAATTACATATGATTGCTTAATTAGAATAAGCTTTTTTAAAAAAAGTAAAATATTATGTTGCACTTGAAAAACAATAAATTGTGAGTTTGAGTTTAAACCAATTGTGCTATTAAGCAAGCAATATGCTGATTTTTTTTTAAAGGAAAAAAATGACATGCTTAATAATATACAACTTATTTTAGCCATTATACAAATGGGAAAATCTCAAACAATAAACTGACACCCTTTTAAAAATATTCAGGGCAATGTGATGCAATGTCAAGATAGCATGACCAATCTCACAGAACTGATTTTCAAGAATACAGTATGTTTGTAGTTCAAAGCAGCCACTACAGTGACAACACAAAATATTTTTCATATTTCATTTTTTAGCATTTATGCAGAAGTCTTTATACATATATTGTCTTAATCTAAAAGCTGCTATGAAATTCAAGTTCTTCATAATTTCTTAATATCAAGACCAAGGAATCTTGCAGGTGAAAAAACACTTCTTGTATGTAAGATTTGACAATTAAAATATATAACTGGGTCCGGAAAGGTGGATGGTTCTGTAACATTCAGCAATCTGTCCAAGTTCCAGGCAAAAGCACATGAAAAAGACTCTGTAAAAAATTATGGAAAGCAAAAAGACAGTATTTCATCAATACACTGTAAATCTTTCTGATCTCCTTTCTTCTCCTCCATTAATTTAACCATTCAAGGACTTTTCAAGGACTCAAAAAAGTCTTGCTTCAAGTTTATTCCAAAATAGCCAAAATGAGAAGTTTGGGGTTGAAATTATAGATATTACCTGCTTTGATTATTGTTAACTTTAAGGGGAAAATCTTGATTCATAAAGTTTTAGACACTTTATTCCATTTTCAGTATCTCAGACCAAAACCTGGAATCCCATTTATTAACAGGGATCATAGGAACTAGTCACTGCATTGCTAACTTAAACACCCGATACATGATTAGCCATTGTCCTATAATGACACAGGGCTGTACAACACCTCTCAAGTGTTTCTGTAGAAAGATAAATTTTTCCTTCCTTGCAAGGTACAGTTTCATCAGGACATTACGCCTGTGTTGACTAGAGCTACTCTGTTCCTCTGGGGTTAACGGTGCCAAGCACACATTTCATGCTCAATAATTAATAACATTTCTGCATGGCAGTATGAGATTGCATTTGAAATAGGGATTGATGACAGCTCTCCACTGTGAAGGCAACAAATTACCTTTGCTCTGCATTGCATTTAAAAAACCCAAAGATACCCCTAGATATCTTTAGTTAGTTAAACTTTTTTCTGAAAAAGAGAAAAAAAATCTTATGTCTAAGTGTAAAAACCAATCTCTAAATGCTGGGAGTTTTTTTTCAGAGGACAGATTGTCTGAAACAACTACTTTTTCCTCTTGCAAGCTCTTGTGTCTTGTGAAGACTTTCAACTTGTGTAGTATGGACTTTTCAACAGAATCTGTGCATAACCACCCCCATTCTAACCATAGGCTATTTCTCCAGGAATGGAGAATGTCTTTGGCCAAACTATTCACAAATGTAGGCTATGGCACACCTCCTAGGTCTGGCCTGCCAGCATCCTCCAGATAGGGGATGTAGAACCATATGGAATGCACTCCGGACCAAGAGGATCCAAGATCCTCTGCATGGAAACCAGGAAAGAGCAGAGGTAGAAGAGGCCATGAGCACAGCTGGGTCTCACCCTAGCATGAAGTCAGGACCACCAGGATACCAGCACCTGGGTCTAATGTGAAGGCATAGTCTAATAAAACCCATATCTAAAGACTATCATCTCTTGTGAGTACAGGGACAAAAAAAAAAAGGGATCTATATCTACACACACATAAAAACTGGTTTCTACAGCATTTTAGTGACTCACTATTGATCTCATTCAGGATGATGATTCCCATATTCACCCTTTGTTTCCCATAGTATCCATTAATTTTGGTGTACAGGAGAAATTTTGTTGGAAGGTGAAGGCAAAGAGAAGGTAAAAAAAAGGTGTTCAAACATGAGCAGTCACGCTCATGTTTCCTGCCATGTATCACATGTACATTGAGTTCACTAAAAGCCAAGGCAGCACAGACGTGGTTTCTCAGCCCAGGAGTAAGTTTCCTTCTCTTTACTGATCCCCTCTGGAGAGTCCAGAGCACTACTACGTAAGATAGAGCAATGTGACAAAGTATTTGGCAAACAGACAAGATCTGCAGTACTGAATTACTGGGAATTACTTCCCAAATTTCCTGTCACTGATCGACACTTGCAAAACATATTTATTAACACTTACAAAACATTTATCATTAAGCTTTTTTCTTAAGACAGCTTCCTCCTGTGCAAAAAAATGACACAGCCCCACCAAAAGACCCAAAAAATTCCAAAAATGACCCAAAATATTTAAAATCCTTCAATAGAATCTAGTAGTTGCATTTCTGCACAGAATCAAAGTCTTCTTTCTCTTTTCTAACCAACATGTAGTTCTGGAATTGACAATGAGAAAATAACTCTGTTCTTGCACACTGTAGTGTTTTATGTCTCCTCCATACACTAGCCAAAATACCCAATTAATTTTAACACAAGTATTTTTTATGTAAATTGCAATGAAATGTCTGGGGTTTTTTCCTCTCAACAGATTGGTTCTTTTAAAGCAATCCTTAGTTTTAACAACCTGGAAGGGGACATTTCTCTAGTGTAAGACATTCTGAGACAAAAATCATTTTCTTTGTCTGCTCTGAAAGCTGAAAACACTTTTTACCCAGAACCCTTGGGGTACCTTTACAGAATGATCACCCAAAAAATTTTGCAGCTTCCTTTCAACAGTTAGATGCACTTTAAACACTAGGAGGATTGATTAAATTTTGGTGACTGTTTTCATAATTATGTGGATATTTAGCACTGAATGAATGGCAGTGTAGCAGTTACTGCGATTCAAAACTTTGAGGCATTATGTGACAACATACCATTTCTGATGGTGTAATTTGCTCTTGAGTGGATGGAAAAGCTTGAGAGATTCATAGTAATCTCTGCAGACTTTCAAGGCAGTGAAATTTATACTAATGTGAAATGGACAATTTGGAGAGTTTCTTTATCTGGGTCACATCCATCCTAACCAGGGGTTCTTCAGGATGGAGTTACCAAGGACACTTACCTCTTATTTCTTTTTGTTGGGTGCATTTGAGAATTCAGTTTATTGTGAGCATTTATAGTCTTCAAATTCTTTCTCCTACTTTTGACTTTTTCTCCTTCTGCTTTGCTAGGCAAAATATTTCTTTTGGTTATTTGGTCTAAACATTACTGTGTTTCCTTCCTGCTCTTCTGAAACTCTCTTTGATGTCTAACACTTTCACATCAACTTTATTTCCTTTTTTTTTTTCCTGTGAAGTTTCTATGCACTCTTTTCTCTTTGCTCTTTCTCTCTGGCTACCCCAATTTAATTTGTATGATCCATTTTAACTTCCTTTGTATTTTTCAGTGAATTTATCTACTGCCTAAGCCCATCCACTCTTTCTTGTGCTCTAGGAATCAGCTTCCATTTAATACGTGTGTGTCCTGTGCAAGTTTCACGCCTATCTGGGAGCACTACATATACCACACTCTGGATTGCCTTAAGACCTTGGTAGCCAGTCTACAAAATTCCTATTGTTCCTCCTCTCAGTAAGATCGTAATTAGTAAATGAAAGGACTTTGCACTGAACACATCTCATTTTACTGTCTCTGGTTCACTAAGCTTCTTCATCAGTTATTTACGCAATATACGCTGCATCTGAGGGTCTACTACAACTGCACCCAATGTTTAGTCTCACTTTCTGTGCACTCTGGTTATTTCTCTTTTACGGGATAGTTCTCTTCAAGGTACTTTTGCTATCCAGAGCAGGTTAATGAATGAGTAACAAATAAGTAATTTATTCTGTAATTTTAGCAGTGTTAAATGCACAAGGTCTCCTACAGAATTTGGGAATGGGATATCACAAACTCTTTGAGAAGACATCAGCAGGTATTTTGTCCAAATTTTCTTAAAGCATTTAAATACCTAGCACAAGAATTTGTACTATTAGGGTGAAGTTCACTACTGGGAAGAGAGCCTGTATAAGACCACTTCAATGCTCACATCCCAATGTAACAATGACCAGGTCTTATCATGGTATCCTATTCTCAAGTATTAAACTCTTTATCCAAGTGAATTTTTCATCCAAGTGTGAGCTATGGTATTTAGAAATGCATAGTGCTGCACTGAGCTCTTGAATTAGGATTGATTTCTCCTTATTTTATGTCTACATCTCAGCAAGGCATCTAACTTCTGTTTATTGCTAATGCAGAGAGGAAGGCCCATTCACAACATGAACTGTGACCCCACCCAAATTTTACCTAAGCAATGAACTACACTGGTGCTTGATTTGAAAAGTGGAACAAGTCAAGTGTTCCAAGGATGTAGGACCAGGGAAAAATATTAAGTTAGAATTGAGAACGTGGCCACCAGCTGATTTCTCATTGATTCTTTATTTAAGTGTTGTTTCCCTTAAACCACTTAGCCTACACATTTTGGTTTAACTTCAAAAAATATTAAAGATAAAATGTTAGCAGTTTTTTATTCTGTAGATTTTTTTCAGCTCCTCCTATATATCTATATTTAAAGAAAATGGTGAGCACCTGTCCTGCACAACCCTGTTTGCTTTAACACCGGTCTGGGGTTTTATGCAGCTATTCCACCGCTCTCACAGATGCTTTACACTATTCCCCACCACTGCCACAGTAACATTCATGTGCATGGCCCTTTGCACAGCAGCTGTCACAGAAAGCTGAGCACACAATCACTTCTCTTTGTTTGCTCCTGTTGTTGTCGTGATTTATTAGGTACAAAGGCAGGAGACTGGCTCCCCCGCACAAGTCGGAAATAGAGTGTTTCACCCCAAAAGGGAGTATGGGGAATGGTGGGAGAGCTACAATGACCAGGTAAGCAAACAGCAAGTGGCCTTAGGGCAGTGTGATATGTCTGTGAACAGGAGGAGCAGCACTGGACAATGCCAGGCCACATCCTCTGTCTGTAATTTCTGTGTATCCAATAAAGTATGTTTAGAAAAGAAAAGAAAAAAGAAAACATGTTGCCACTGCTGATTTCTGTGTTCCATCTGACTGCCAAAAAAGCCCTGCACCATGTTCATTCAACTGATCTCAACCGCATGTCCTGTGTGATGTTGTTGTAATACGGTGCTTTGGGGGGGAGAAATCTCACAGCTGACTCATTAAGCCAGTCAGGCAGCTGAAGAGAATCAGTTTTCAAGCTTGGAGTAAGGGTAGTCCTGCTGCATATTTGGGATTACATTAAGTCTAATCAAAAGAACTTTTAAAAAGGGCAGAGGACAACTGATTGATGAAAACATTTTCAATATGAAAATGTTGGTTCTTCTCAATCAAAATATCTTGTAGGAAAGTGTTTTACAGTGGTTTTTAGGAAAGGTTTCAAACGCATTTAAAATAAAGTTTAGAATATCTTTTTCATAACTTGCTCCATTTAATTTAACTTGTATACTTACTTTCATTTTTTGACCATTATATATTGCATGTCATTAAACACCAATGTTAAAATTTAACTAATATCAAATACTACATTTTTTCAACGTTACTGGGATTACCAGTTTCAATATGACCATTTTGATGTTTCTCTATGGAAATATTTTTAACTATTTAATTCTGTGAAGTACCTGGAAATTTCAGCTATTCATCTCATTTTGAGTCCAGAACAATTTCCAAAAGCTGAACCCTCCCCTAGCGCAGAAAATTCATTTATCCAGACATCTCTATTCATAAATGAATAAGCTGCATATGTCACACATGGTTATAAATCTTTCATTAAACAATACTCTTAATAAGCACTGTATCTGTTACATTCTGTGAGATGTTAGAACCATTTTACCATTTATTAAAAGAACTACTCATTCCTTATTGATCCCTGTAAGATATTTATAAATGTAACCTTAAAGCACAGTATGACCAAATTACACCTTCACTTTTCCCAAGCGTTAGTTACATCACAGGTGAATTTTATCATTGCAGAAGGGTGTTCTGTGAAACACTTCACAGCGTTATGTTCCCCTTGGGTACAGCAGTCACACATATACATAAGGCCATCAACTCTAACACCACACAGCACACACCTGGGGGCTCCTGCAGTTTAAATCACATTAGATACGTTAATTGCTGAGTGTAGTACACAACGTATATTTTTTGTCAGCTGGAATTTTTTCTTGTCCATGTGTTGTCTGGATTTTTTTTCCTTACATTGCATTGCCTTCAATAATAGTTATTCTTCATTTAAAAGCCATCTGCAATCATTATATAATGGATTTTTGAAGAGCAGAAAAGTACATGTAAATGTCAAATAACTGTATTTTGTTGTACAGTATTCAGTTCTGCTTTACCTGGCCATATATATACCCTTGAAAAACTTCTTTTTTATATCTTCACAGTGAAGAATCTGTTTGCATTCCAGACTGTAATCGATCTGAGTCAAGTAGAGAGGAGAAAAAGGTTCCTGTCAAAGAGGATGCCCTAACAGTCAAAAAGACTGGAAACTGTGTCAGTCTAATAGTTCCACAGCAAGACTGTCAGCTGCAAGACCTACTCAAACAGTTAAGAACACCTACTGCTTAACAGAGAGTGCAATTGCATTTGATGGCTGTGTTTTGTTGTCTCCAGCCACAGTGTCCTGGCCAGTGGTCCTTGTCAAATTTTGTAAGCTCAGTAGAGTTGTATGGCCTGGGAATCTTCCAGACATTGCAGAACAGAAAGTAGGTGCCATTCTCTTGTCTCAGTAAGTATCAGACCAGTGCTAGAAGTCACTGAGATGAAGAGCAGATGGAAAAAGACAGATACAGAGGTCAGACCATTTGTATATGATGAGAAAACCTCATCATCTCACAGGAGAAAGAGTTCCCATGATACTGACCAAATCTCACCTACATCATTTCAATCTAATTAATGCTGTGCAATTCATACTGGGCAGTATTGTTGACCTCGTGTCCTCAAATCCCCCGCAAAATTATATTTCTGTTCCAATCCCAGTGTGCATATTTTCCGCATCAGAGCCTAACTATCTCTTTATATTAGTCTTACAAGTGCCATGGAATTTTTCAAGATGAAAAGTGTCATAAAAATAGCAATAGTGGGTACATTATGTGATGCCTTGTAAGGCTATTTCTCATTAAGGGGCATTTAGGCATCCTGTATCACCCATGACCATCATTCACATGTATGATAAAATCTATTATGGAATGGGATGTTTATGAGGCTTTCGAAAAGCAGGTATCACAGCATCATTTCTTTTGCATTTCTTGCATCATATTTGCATTTCTGATCTGATTAAATGCAAAGAATAAGAAACTAATTAATAATTCACAGGAGTAATTTTCCTGCTGATAAGTCCCATGTGCAAAAAAACTTCTGTTATTATTTATCAGGCACGCCAAACATCTAAAATTCCTCTAATTGTATCCTCGTTGCAGAGGATAGAAATCAAATCAACCCTTGACTCTGGAGATACAACTGGGAGAGTTAAATCTTTTTTTTTTTATTTTTGTGCATGTGTGTGTGTGTGTGTGCGTGTTTGTGTTGGTGGTTTTTTTTTCTTGTGCACTGCTTGTACTCCTGATTTCAGGATCAGATAAGGTGATGGTTTTTACTTTTCCCAGTTTCCATTTCATACCTTTAGCAATGAAAACAATGAAAAATCTTGTTGACTAACCAATGTTGAAAACACCTTAAAGCATCAGGAAGCAGAACTCACAGTTCAAGAGGTGCAGTTGTCCCTCCATCCTGTGAATAGAATGCTCCAGTGTATGTCCTCAGAGATGTTTGAAACGGCATTTTTCAGAAAAAAGTGAAACCCAGCACTAGCTGCCTTAATGAACAATTGCAATGAGGTCACAGTAATAGAGGAAAGATGTTACATCTGATACCAGGATCATTTTTGCATTTTGGGTGATGATAATAGGTGTACCAGAAGTGTTTCATTCAGATACAAGACACTTCATTTCCTGTTCTAACCAGGCATACTGCTGAAGCAGCTGTCAGCATTAGCATCACTGGTGGCTGTGCTGGAAAGTAATTGGCAAAGGTTCTGCCCATCAACTCTCTCTCAATTTCTAGTTTCATTCATCCTTATATAATAAAGTTATTTATATAAATGTCAGTTGAGATTTTCATGAGGAAAAGAGGTATCAACAGATTACAGTTTGTGTAGAAATATAAATAATTGCTGTTGTTGACAACAGAAAACTACTCTGAAAAATAATTGAAAATATATTGCTTATTTCTAGAACTCAGTACAGGACGAAATTAATTTTTGCTTTGTGTCATTCCTCTTTTTTGTTTGTTGTAATTTATCTCCACAGAAAAAGCAATATGAGAATAATTTAAGCTAAGTAATTTGAGTGATATAGCACTAGCAGGTTACTCGTGTGTGGCAGAATTGACTTTCACCCAGGGAAACAATTACATACACATATAGAGGTTTTCTTAAAAGCAATCTAAAATGAGAGAAATAGCAATGACATAAAACAGCATTACTGTGATAGAATTGACCTAATTTAGACACCTTTGGTTCTATATTCAGTTTTAGCCAGTCATCCAGGTTATCCTATAGTCCTGGGAGAAACTATGACTTACTTGTTCATACAGGTATACTGGAGTTCACCACTTCAACCACTTATTTCATTTCAGTGTTTTTAGCATTTGCATTCTCCCAAGGATGAACTTGTGTCACTACAAGCGAAAGGAATAATGAACTGAGGTTGCAAGTGACAAGATGAAAGAAAATACATATGTGCCCCTGCTTGCATGCATCACAGACACACACACAGACTGTCCCTTGTGAAGAGTCAATTTTTAATTAAATCAACAGATAGCACACAAATCCTTTTCAGGCAGAGTAATTATATAATTGAGTCATTAATAAGAGGAGTCTCATTTATATCTTTGAGTCTTTCAGCAGAGGAGTCTGAAAGCAGAAGAGCTTCTTACTGTTTACTTTGAATAACAGGAGATCTCTTTTAGAAAGTTATATGGGCTGATCCAAGTACAGAAGTTTATCCTGCTTACCACTGCCAGCTGGTTCTGGGGATAAAATGGAAAGACTTCTCCCTTAAAGATAGGAGAAGTCTGCGCAGTGTTGGAGCAATATCTTAACTATGTCATCTTCTTAAGAAACAAGATTCTTCTTAAGAAACAAGATATTGTTTCAAGCTTGAATGTAACATTGAAACATCTAAGCATAAATTTGACACCAATTTTAGCTCCATAATATTTAAATTAGTGTTCTGAAATACAAAATTTCATTCAGGGACTTATAAATTTAAGAATTTGAAATAATTCTTTTATTATAGTCATGTAAGGACAGATTGCAAACAGATCCTGCAGGCCTCCAACAATTTATTGTCCAGTGTCTGTTTTCAGGTGTATCATTCCAAATCTGCAGTCAGATTCTGACATTGGTATGTGACGAAGAACAAAAATTATGTTAAATTTTTGTATTAATCTGTAATGATTACCCTTGTATTCCAGATTCCACTGATGAATAACACTATGTCACTACGCATTCTAAGCTCTCTTAAAAACTAATGAATTCCATATTTTTAAACTGATTTTCCTATTTCAGTTAAAGATATTAACAAGAGAATAAGTGACTTATTTTCAATTTACATATGCTTTCAGTAACTCTCCCCAATACAAGTCCCTAGGCTCTCATCATCAGAATTAATTTTAGCAACTCCAGGTAATTAATGAGAATGGTACCCTTGCTAAATTATGAGATTTTTAAGCTGCCGTGTCTGTACTCCTCTTCCTGTTTTTCATTTCTTCTGCATTTTGAAGGACCTCACAAAATACATTTGCTTTACTAGCACCTGGCTAAAAAAATGCTGATAGCAGAGCTATACACCATCTCATAGGTAATCATACCAGAGAGGAAAAAATACTACTACAATGTACTACTACATGTAGTAATACAAAATTACTACTACAGCAGCCAAAACAAAAGACAAAATGATCTATTCCATACAGTTAAAAATCCCACATGTGTAAAGGGAGGGGAATATTTTTTTACACCCAAGTGGATAAAAGGCAGTCAATATCTCTTATGAATACAGAACAAAGCCCTAAAGACAAGTGTATCTAAAAAGATTAAGTAAGGGAAGAAAATGAGAAACAAAACTAATTGCTATTCTGTCATCAAGTGGACAACTGTAGGAGAAATATTTAAAGTATCAGATACTTCAAAAGCTCTCATTTCTTATACATATTATATCATAGTAGGTGTAGCAGGCTGGGAAAATGCCAGGCAAAAATCAAAATCAAAGCAGCTTTTAATAAAGACACTGAAGAAACAAATAGTATGATTTTTTTCTAAGGAAACCCCTCTTGTGCATAAAGCTGAACTTAATTAACCTGTAGTGAAAGCAATTTAAAAAAAAAAAGTGTTGCAAAAGGCTTTGTTTTCTTCTAACATTTTACTGTCAGTGATAGGAGTTTGCTGCTCTCTGCTCTGCTCTACTCAGCTCTGTTCTGTGTAATGTGCCAGCAGAAAAGGAGAGGAGGGAAGAAAATGGACATGCAGGCAAACTTTGCACTGGAATTCCTTTGGGAGTTTGAAAGTGTAATTCTTCTGTTCTGAAATGAAGGAGCCAAAACCTTTCTAAAGAAAACTCTAGAGTTTCACTGACCTAAAGTTTCCCATCATTGAAGAGTCAAGGCAGAGCTGGGTATAGTGAATGTAAACAATTCCATTACTAGACATCCTAGTCCTAGTCATGTCTAGTCATCCTTGTCATGTCTCTGATCCATCTTTATTTCTCTGTTTTTAAATTGTGTGCATCACAGTCGTTTCCAGTTAACCTGACAGAGTAGCAACATGTGGTTAGAGCAGGATCCTTAAGTATTATCACTGCAATTTATTTGTAACCGTTTCATACCAATAGAAGAAAACAAGAGATGCTCCTTTCACAGAGGTGATAAATGATTGCACACTTCAGTCCAGTGTTGACTTCATAGTAAGTAGGTGCAACATGATAAAGTGGATGATATATTTCTGACATAACAATTCCTACTATTGCTGGGCAGACTATTAGGATTTTATATATAGATTTTATCTATAGATTCATTTCTTACTAATAAATCATAGAATCATAAAAGTTGGAAAAGACCTCTGAGATCACTGAATGCAACTGTTAACCCAGCATCACTGTGTTCACCACTAACCCATTTTCCCAAGTACCACATCCACACATGTTTTGAACACTTCCAGGGATGCTGATTCTACTACTTCCTTGGGCAACGTGACCACGGTTTCAGTGAATGGTACTTGTTTCCTATTCAGTTTTTAACATCAAGGAATTTGCAATGAATAATGGTCAAGTCTTTCAGGTTTTTGCACAAAATTTATATCAAACAGCCACTGGGTCTCCTTCAGAGCCCTAGGATCTCCATGAGAGCTTGATTACACTTGGGCATAGCGCAAAGGCAGTGAACAAATGCTTCAGCCAAGACTGACCCAAAACCAAACTGAGATTCAGGGAGGTTGGTGACTCGCTCCACTCAAGATTTAACTTTAACCCCTTGCCAAGGGCTGGACGCAACCTCAGGTTTCATCCTTTTCCTTTCCCCAGGCTCTTCAGTCTCATAGCTCTCCTTAGTGATTGTCTCTTTAACTGTGACCAGGGGAGGAAGTAAGATGTTCCCTTCACAAGCTCTTAAAATCTGACCTTCAGTCAATGAAAATGTCTATATGCATTTAGTGCTCATTTGCACACCTAAAGCCGTAGGGTTTGAAACATCTCTACTAAGCCAGTGCTTGAAGTCAGGAGGGGTGCTAGAATATACCTCTTTCTTTGGGCAAACATTTCTATTTGATAGTCCTTCATGTTAATGGCATTTATTTCACAGGCATATCTGTCACAGATCTCTCTAAGACCTCACTAAGAGGACATCTGGTACTGGAACTAGGCCCTCTCTTTCTGCCTGATCAAAGTTACAAGTGCCAGATCAGTCTGTCTCCTGGTCCAGCTCAAATTCAGCTGCAGCTGGGATAAAGTCTCATGGTCATCATACCAGACCTAGAGGCAAGATCTCATCTACCAAATGATCCAAATTCTGCTCCTGCTGCTGGCATTGAGCTCCCATTGAGCTCAGGACTCAGCATGACCAAGGAGCCTCAACAACCATCAAGCATATGTTCCTGGGAGAGAAGCATACAATTCTCAGAGGGAACAGTTTTCCTCCTCAAGACATTAGTGTCAGCTCCTGTTCAGTCCAGGACCGCATTCACAGAGCTCCAAAGAATCAAAGTGAGCAGTGTACAAATCAGATTTGCTTTTCCTTCTTGGTCTGATTTTGGTACAGCAGAAGAAAGGGATTATCTCAACTACAAGTTACAAGCCACCAGCTGTTTTGCTTGGCATTTTGGGGGTAGATATCCCCCAAAGATCCAGATAACATCCTGGTGACCACTGCAGCAAAGGAGTGAACCCTTATGCACTTATATGGATCATGTCCCTGTCTACCCTCTCCTAAAATACTCATTGCTGTACACTGTGTTTGTCTACTGGATTCTGTCATGCTGCTTTTGAAGGGGAAAGCTGTTGGCATATGTTGTGTTACATGACCCATTGTAATTCCATGTAATGTAATCATGGATGTAAACCCAGAAGAAGGTTTTGTCAGCACAGAACTTTTTTTTTAGATGACTGTAAGAGCTATTAAACTGATAGTTTGAGGCAAGCCTCCACATGAAGGCTGATATAAAGTCATCTGTTTTTAGTAAACTATGTGCTTTGCAAACTGTTACGCTGCAGGCTAACATGTGAGTATATCTACTGCAGACTTAAAAAGCAAACAAAAACCAAATTTGTGATAATCTGCCAGGGTTTCCAATGTTGCTATCTTTTCAAAAATCCTCAGTGACTATAGCAAATGTTTTGGGAACTAAAGTGAATTGTCTGAAAATCTGTTGCATTTTGTATATAAATCATGTTTATTTGTATGTGGAGACTGTTTTTCCTGTTGATGTCACTTCACAGTCATTGTCTGTTTCAGCTAAGAAATATTTCCAATGGTCTTCCTTAATTCCAAGAACTATTGGTTGATGTATGTGCAAACACCAGCTCATCAGCCTGAGGAAAACGTAAAAGGAAAGGAGACATTTCATACTATGTGTTTACAAGTGCCATTGCTGGTTTTCTTTAGGTAGCAAGAGGAGAAAAATAAGCAACTTTGATAAAGAGTAGAGTATGATGGTATCTGAAGAGAATTTACCCTAAGAGAACTCATATTCCAGAGGAATATTTATTGCTGTCTCCAAACTCAGGTCACCATGAGGAGTTGCTTGTATAGTTTGTCCAGTATTTCTTTCCTACTAGGAACATAGTTTCATTCTCTGAGCTGACCTGCAACTAAAAAAAAAGTAAATTATTTCTTTAATCTAGTGGCAGCTAATTTACCAAGTACCGCGAAGAAGAAGTCACACATCAGAAGCATCTGTCCACCTACAGCCAGTATAGCCCCTTTCTTGTGTATTACTCTGGTACTTCCAAGTAGTGGGATATAAAGCTATTTTTTTTTCCCCAGCCATAACAGCCTACTCTTCTCCATCTTTCAATTTACAATCCCTGCCCCATACCAGGAGTCCATGGCCCAAAATTACATCAAGCTCCTTACCACTGAGTGCTCCCAGGTCAGCCTACATACCTGCCCCCAGCTAATCCAGGTCTCTCACTTATTCTTTTCAAGCACTTAACTATCTTTCACTCCTCCCTGCATACCTCGGTACCACAGCCTCTCTGATACCAATCCAACAGAAGGGAAGCCATTAAGCTACTCCTTCCTTCAGGATGGACATTGCCTATGTCCCAAGGGCCACAGCAGAAGGGTCAGCAGTGGCCATGAACTAGTACAGAACAGATCATGGCTGGATGAACAAATGGCCTGTGAAATGAGCTGGCACACAGCTTGTTGTCTTGGGACATATAAACATAAATTATAGATATAAATATATTGCAATTGATATACATATATAGATGAAATTACAGTCGGCTTTACGATGAATATAAGCTCTGAGATACAATTTACCCATGGTATAGGTACAGTGATTATATTTTTAACTTTGATGCAAGTTACCATCTTATTTCTGCTTACAGCTCTAACGGGAAATCAGTTTCCTGGGCCCAGAATGAGAAAAGCAGCCGAGGAGCACACCTTTGGCAGCGGTTGTCAGTCCATATCAACAAAAAAGAGAACCCCAATCAAACTGCAGTGATCAAGCCTTTTTCTAAAAGCACAGATAGTAGCCGACCCAGTAGCAGCGCTACATTACCTGAGGCTAGTGCCAAAACACTTTACGACGTTTCGGAAGCCGAAGAGCAATACCCAGCTCAGTACCGACCGCAGACTCCCTCACCTATCAGCACCTTGAGCCACAGAACTGCCTCCGTTAGCCGAACAGAAGACGATGTCCCCACCTTCCAGTCAGAACCTCCTCAGCGAAGTAGCTCTTCTCAAGGCTCCCTCATGGAGCAGATCAGTAGTGTGGTTACTCGTTTTACAGCCAATATCAGTGAGCTGAACTCTATGATGCTTTCAACAGCTACTCCAGGGACAATGGTGGCTGCTCCTCTCTGCTCTTCATACCTGATTCCACGTGAAATCCAGCTCCCTACTACAATGACCACGCTTGCAGAGATCCAACCACTTCCTGCCATTGAAGTCAATGGCGCTTCACAGTCTGGTAGGAAACCTTCAAATGACAGCGTCAAAGAAGGCACTTCAGAGACACCATCAGCCAAGCAAGACCTGGAGGAGTTGGTAGCTTTAACTCCTCCTTCTCCTTTTAGAGACTCCGTTGATTCTGGAAGTGCATCTCCCAGCTCTCCAGTTTCCGAATCAGCTCTCTGTATCCCATCCTCTCCCAAATATGACACACTCCTCATCAGAGATTATACTCAAAGTTCTTCTTCGCTGTGAATGTAGTTCAAGACAACATTGGATCTCAACAGCTACAAGGAAGTAGTGAGGCAATAGCCAAGCCTTCAAGATCTCCAGTGTTTACGCAGATAGAGTGAGAGGCATGGGGTCATCTTGTGAGGAATGGAGGGGAAGAAGAGGAATTATTTGAGAAGTGGAAACATCAGATTAATTATGCTGATTTAAAGACAAAATGACTCTTGGCAGATTATCGTGGCCTTAAAAAAACATGGGCTTTTCAGAAACACTGAATCTACTTTTGAGGGCTTATAAGGAGTCTGTTAATCCAGTTACATACCAAGTGCTTTGCTTTAGTATTACAATGAACTGTGTGTACAATATACGGGGCAGGGTGGGAGGGAAACTAGATTGTAAACAACTGTACAATGGTTTGTTTGTTTACTCTGATTCCTTACCCAGAAGTCAACCTTGATCTTTTATCAAGAATAGAAGACCAAACATTGAATGTACATTTTCTAACAGACTCAAATCTGGGACCAACCTGTCAAGCTTTCTTTTTTTTTTTCTATGAAGATCTCAACAAGCAGTAATGTATGTTCAATAACAATGAAACTTTTTGCTGAAGAATATTGTGTCCGTGATACCTTACACTTGGATAACACTAAGCTGAGGCTCTGCAGTGAGTGACTGCAATATGGAGGGCTTCACAAGTGACTTCTCTACCTACACGTTTGTTTATGAAATTCTCTTCTATCAGTATCAAAAATTCAATTTGTTAACATTGGATTCACCTTCACAACAACAAAACCCAAGGAAGATTTCCTGACTATTTCACCATGTTGCCAACTAATAATGAAGTAGCAAAAAATATTTTCTGGAGTACTGTTTTGTAATTCCCTTATCAGGGCAAGTTGTTGAGATGAATATTCTCTTTCTAGCAGCACTACTGAGCTATAATATAGCTGCACTCCCTACTGAAACTAATACATTTTTACGGATGTTCTTATGCTAACATTACCAGTTAAAATACTTATTCAGATTCCCACAATCTTTGCTTGTAAGGAACAGGTAAACACCCTAAGGATTTTCTCCATACTTTGAATGACAGAATTCTAGGAGACCAATTTGGATTATGATGAATGCTTACTGTCAGTGGAAAGGTTGTCACAATCATAATTAATATATATAGGGAAAAAAGACCCATGTCAAAGTCTGCTTAGAGGTGATTTAGCTACTCTTTAATAAGCAACAATTTTGAACTTTATTTAGCTGCTGATGCATTGCAGCTATGAACTGTGACAAAAAAATTTCAAAGCAATACAGAGTAAAGGTTAAAACAGAGAAGAGCTAATGAGATATGAATGAACAGAGTCTTTGTTTCTTAACAACTCACAGAATAAGCAAGGGGATTCCTCATATTTTTTTCCTATATCAAGGTAGTACAGTTTAGTGCACTTCATATTGTCACAGCACTTTTTTAATACAGGCAGGGAAGAGTTTTAAAAGTTTGAATAGTAGCTAAATAATTTTTGATAGGTATAGTTACATAGAACTTTTAAGTCGGACCCTAAACGCACACTGTATTGGTTCTCTTCTTCATGACATAGCTGTCCTCAGGTGCCAAACTTTTATGAGTTTGTTTTATTTTATTTAAGGGTAGTATGAAGTGGTGAGTGATGTACTTCAATTCAAAGTTGAATTGATGTAGCCTTATACAGAAGACAGCTTCAAGGAAGGGAGCCTTGAAATAAGGCTGCTATGCTTCATTTTCAAAACCTTTTAGATCTTATTTCTTCAAAAATAATGAATATTTTGTAATCAAAATTCATTACCTCCTTTTCCTCTCCCATGTCCAAAATAATAAATATTTGATCAAACAAGCAAAACATGAAAGCACATTCACATACTTTAGCAAAGATCATTTTCTATTCCTTTGGGATGCTTGTTTCACTATTATGTGTTGCACTCCATTTTGCTGCTCAACAACATTTAAAATAGAAAAGTAACAGATAACCAAATCCAAACCAGCACCTCAGAGAGATACTCAGTGATGCTGTGCATCCTGAGCAAGGCAGTGTTACCCAATTGCAGTCTGGGCATGCTTATTTTGCCAGGTACAGTTATTTACTAGCTATGCCTATAGCATGAACAGGTAGGTCACAAAACAGCTCTACTCCAGAAGGCAAGTTGATACACTAAGTCATGACTGTAGGTCCTTGTTGCTTACATGTAGCTTTTGCCTCCTCACATGACTGCTTAGCACAGACTCAGTTCTGTGCAGCTGTATGGTTTCCTGACTAGAGCTCAGTTCTGCCCTCTTGGTTCACAGTACTAGCATGTCTCATCATCCCCTAGCTGCCCATGTCTTTATGAGAAAGAATCTTCTGTCACTGGTTACAACCTACATTTAAGGGAAGAGCATGTCCAATCAGTCTGTGACACAAATTCTCATTTAGGGAGACTAGACCACTTAATTGTTGCTCGTGGAAGATTTATATGGTAATATATGTCTCCCATCAGTGCATTATTGTTTTGATATAAACAGAGTGTACTGAGATAGTTAATGTTAATTTCAAAGGGATTCTATTCCTACCTATTCTCTTATACTTTAAACTGTAGACCAATGTCCTTACAAGAACATTCTCCATCTTGATCTTTCCCTAATATTTTAGGTCCCCATTTATGTAGTCTTTTTTTATAGTGGTGGACAATTAATATTAATGTATTCCTGCTCAGTGGAAATAAGGATTATACAGACAAACAAAAAACCCTTTTCTTAAATACAAGATTAATAAAAAGGAGTGAGAAATAGAAACTGTCAAACTCAGCATAAATATACCTCTTCTGCTTCCAAACTGCAATTCTGAACCATCCTGGCCATAGTTATTGCTCAGAGCTTCCTGACAACTTTTGTATATATTGCCAAGATGATATAGCTATACAGATGCACCATGTGCCGCCAAACACACAAATCTCTCAATCTAACACATGCATGTTTTAAAGTCCTAAAAGCCTAATGTTACACAACCCAAATTTGAAACACTTTTGTTCACTCTCATTTTGGGAGTAGTCATGTATCTTTTGCATATCTATCAACTACAGCAGAAATTTTAGTTGCACAAGAAACCATGGATGGACCTTGCTGAGATTGTACCCTCTTGGAGTCAGTCTATTTTTAATGAAAAATAGAACAGCCTTAGTGGCATTTAAATAAGGCAGAATAAATCTAATTGTGCAGCCTGGAATACACCAATGTCACCTTCTATGAGGTGTTTGGATTTCAACAAAGGGAGAAAAGGGATTTTGGAAAAGAAGGTGGCAAAGTTGTAATGCCTGTAGTAGTAATTCAAAGGAGTCCAGAGGGAGATTTGCAAGACTGGAAAGTTCTTTGAGAGAAGCCAGTGAGTTTGACATAAGAGAAAAGAAAATTATGAATGATAGACATCAGGATTTCATTATGCTGTTTGTATGCTGGTCTCTGTTTACGACATCAAGATATAACGGCAGGGTCTTTCATGCATAAATGCAAAAGTTACAATCACGAATACTTTCCATTCTAAATAAAGAATGTGCAAGTACCAACTGAATGGCTTGAATTTGCCTTCCAATTTAGTGCTGCTGCCAGAAAGGGAATTAAAGGAGTTGAAACTTTAAAGGAGTTGTCATTCTTGACCAGAGGGACCTCAAAAAATCATTTATTTCTTTTGTGCTTGAGGCCAACTCTGAAGAGTGAAGGTGTAACCACCTCTGGATCTGTGCTTTTGAAATAAAGTGAATCACTCTGGCAGCCCAGTTGGGAAAAAAATCTTTGCAATACTGAAGAAGAACTGTATTTTTAAATTGGGTCTGAAGAATAATTGCATGACTTTGGAGATGTGCTTCCTTGTACTTCTATCTGAACATTTGGTGCCTAGACTTATACAGATACTTTAGACCACATATTTTTAGACCACAGTCCACAAATCACTTGCTGATGTTTCATGGGAGCCTAGCTGATTACAAGGTCCTGGTTTCTTCCATTGATTTACAGCTACAAAAGTGAGTTAGAAGCTAAATGCTAATTAAAAATAACCGTTAAAAGAAAAAAAAAAAAAAGTTGTGTTAGTTTGCTTGGATGTTTATTCAGTTGCTGTGTTTGCAAAAGGAAAACTTTTTATCAAAACTGGGAGAATAAGATCTCCAAAGAGAGTAAACAGGAAGGCCAATCCATGATTCTGGCTCTGGATAATAGCAGAGTTCCCCTGGGAATGTATTCATTAGAGTGTGCGAGACCAAAACTGAAAAACAGCATAGCTCTGGGTGTATGTTCTGTAAAGGAAAGTGTGCAACCTTGCTATTCGGCTTAATACATCATTTATGAGGTGAGAGGAAAAAAGATGACAGAAACAGCATGCAAAAACGTCGGTTCCTTAGGGAAATCAGAGCACTATGCTCAGGATCAATAATGTGACCATGACTTTTTTAGTGTATTGGAGACCAGTGTCAGGGCTAACTCTAAAAAAAAAGGAGTTTGGGGCCTAAAGTTAGGATTTCATTAGAACTTAATACCTACATTTAAAACTCAACTTTAAAACCACTATTCGACTGCCGCCTTACTCGGGTATGAAGCATTGTATGTCTGCGTATGCTTAGAAGTACCCTCATCTTCACACATCTAAGGATCTTTGTACATAATTCATGCTAATACCCATCAGGAATGCAGAAAACAGTGGTTCCTTGGTTAAATCCCTGTATATCCTATGAGTGAGTACACAGAATGCGCAGTACTTAGACATCAGGATCATACTCCCTACGAAATGAAAGAGAAATCTTCCTTTGTTTTAAGGTTGTGGGTCTGGTTATGCTGCTGTTTTTATGACACCTTTAAGATTAGAATAGTCAGGCAGAAGGCAGGTGACCTGAATTCAGGCCCTACCATTGCCAGAGGTGATGAAATATTCCTCCTGGCTGGAAAGTGCTCTAATGAATCAGTTTTGAGATATCCCCTGTTCATCTCACTAAGGTCATTTTACAGAATAGAAAAAAACTTGCATTAGAAAAGGAACAGCTACTTTGCAACCTGATAGGACACACACTTGGTATAATTAAAGATCATATATGACCATTTAATATAAAATTCTTTAAAAATTTCTGGAACAGAGACCAGGTGAGTATTTTAACTCCAAAGAAGTGGAGACAACCTTTTGTCTGTGCTGTGTATTGGCTAGAAAAAATGATAGATGCTTCCCTGAAAAGTGTTTTAGTGACAAGAGGGGAGGATGTGCCCTTACATAACTCTGTATCTGCAACCATCTTGCCTTCCATCTGGTGTTCTTAGACCCTTTCATGGAAAGGAGAGACTGAGTCTTCTTGGATAGGTGAAGGAATTAAACTTGGGGTTCCCACTTCTCTGAGACTGCAGAAAAAGGGACCCATTTCATTTTTCTCCAGCCATCTTACACAAAGGAATCTCATCTTTGAAACAAAAAGTATTGCAGCGTCCAAAAATTGGTTCCAATGGAAAATTAGCATTTTCTGCTCATTGCATTTCCATACTGACTCGAGTAGGATAATCCTGGACATCTCTTTCCTTGTTGTGTTGTTTTCTTGGGCACCTAACTCTCCTTACAAACTCTATAGCAAAGTTAGACATTCAACAAAGGGTTCTGACCCCCACACTAGAGCCAAAAAAACTATATATTGCACTGTATAACTAAGGGCTGAAGTCCTTTGCTGGCATTGGCTCCTAATCTATTGAGGTCAATGGACTCATTTCAGATGAACATCCATGTAAAGGAAATCAAAGCTGGATAGTAGCCAATGAAGTCTAGACTTTGGCTACTTGTTCTGCAGAGAATGATAATGAGAGGATGTTCTTCCCACTTTCTTTTGAATCAAACAGATGATGGATTTTATTAGGTTCATTCCTGAAACTAGGCTTGGCGAATAGTACCTTCCTATTATACTTCTTTATCACTGCTACTCTACCCGATACCCCAATGGGAAAATCATACTCTAACTTAACATGTAGTAAAGGATGTGAGAGAACATGTCCAAAAGCAAGAAACAGGTCGCAGTTTTCTGGCAGTTTCATGAATCTCATAAAAAGAAGTCAATACTCTTCACGAACAAGAAAATCATTCATCTGCTACCCATTCCACTGGGCACTTCACTTAGTAAAAACTTCAGTTGAGTCACCCAAA